ATCAAACAAAGTAATATTTTTCTCGATCTTCTTCTCAATACACAGCAACCAACTCATCGTAGGTCTATGCCAAATTATAAAATTGTTAATCATAATAGTTGTTGGGAATTTTGGCCGTTCGATGCCTAACCCAACAAGTCCCTCAATAATAAATAATTAGTTGGCTCACTCCTTAGCCGGCCCACCGGATCGGCCAATCCTTTTAGCCCAAGTCTAAACCTATTAATCCTTCAACCCTAAGCCCATTAGTTGGTTATTAGTTTTGGGGTAGTTTAATTAGATAAAGAGGTGAGTTTGCGTGAGAATCGGTTTTCCTAGAGAGATAAACCGGGAGGGAAACCTACAGAGAGTGAGGGAGAGGGAGAGGTTTTTTGGTGAGTTCCGATGAGTTTTTCCAGTGAGTAAGAAGTCTTTTCGATTGCCGATTCCGGTGGGTATTGAGGTTTAGAGTGTCGAGCTGACGTCCACCTTGAGGCGTGGTTCTCGGGCCATTATCGCACATGATCTGAGCCTTAGTTCATCATCCTTTCACCAGTGTTGAAAGATGGAAGAAAGATTGGAGAAAGAATCGATAGTTCAAAATCGGAGGAATTTCAAAGCTATTCGTCACCGAAGTTTGCTGATGGGTGTCCATCGGGAGTTTGATGTCCGGATGAGTTCCGAGAAGGAGATCAGTGTTGCTGGTTGTCATCTCCGGATGATTCGCCTGAGGAGGAAATCGGGGTCGACATCAATGTCGCTATTCGGCGTTGTCCGTCGGAGTCCATTGCTATTGTCGGTGATGTTGCCCGCCGCCTCTACTGGAAGAGATCATCTCCGGCCAGTCACCGGAGAACATAATGTGTTCGTCGCCAGAAGAACCTTGCTGCCAGACGCTGAAATTTCGGCTGTCACTCGTCATCAGCGTCATGGAATTTCAAAAATCAAGGAATTTGTCAGAATTTAAAGTTGAGTGAGAGAGAATGAGTGGCAGCTAGGTTTCCCTGAAGTGTTTGGGAAATGAAATAAAGGTTAAATATAAGTAAAAAAAATGCGATTTTATATTTAAAAGTCGAGTTAAAATCGTTCGAGTCCTCTTCAAGGTATAATATTGAGAATGCTCATTGAATTGGAATAAGTTCGGCAGTGGATCACGAACTCTTGGTAATCTTCTCTATTTAATGAATGGGGAGTGTGCTTTAAAATCGTCCGCCTTGCACCCACCCCAGAGTATACGCTTCAACAGGAATCGCACAAGGGTAAATTAGAAACCTCTGGTAAAATGCCCGCTCGTCACCCTGGACGTTTTTTAAAAACACATTTGAATATACAACCGATTTTTTACTATTGGTTTGGCTATAACTCTTTTGTTTGGATTGGAATTGACTCATCGTTTTCAGCGTTGGAAAAGTAACTTAAAAACCTATAAATAAAATAAATTTCATGAAAATTATATATTAATTAGAAAAATCTACAACCGTTTAAAATTAATTGAAACACCTCAAAATCATGAAAGAAAAAATAAATTTCAAACTCTCTCTGCCTGACAGCACGAAGAGGTTGCCAACATATTGACAATAACAACTTTAAAATATTTAATTAACAATACATCTCATAGACAACTCAATTGTGGATAGTATGACAAAGATTGAAAAAAATAATATGTTTGAGCACAAAAAAAAAATGAAAGATTTAGGTTTGGGTCCATGGAGGATAAATTGATGGGGCCAGTGGCAATCCAGTGGTGGGCCTGATACATTCAGTCGGATGGGTGTTTGGCCAGGCCAATCAATGGTTGGCCCTACGGATAGTTTTCATTCGAGTTTAGGCCTTGGGCGGTTGATTACAAAGGTAATCGATGAGGAAACAGTTTTTGGACGGTTCAGAATTAACGTCGAAGTAGTTTTTTTGAACGGTTCAAAACCAACGTGGAATAAGCTTTTTTACAGTTCGAAATTGTAACCGACGTGGAAGAAGTTTTTTGACGGTTCAGATCGGTAACTGACAAGGAAGAGGTTTCGGACGGTTCAGATTGGTAACAGACGAGGAAGTGGTTTTTTACCGTTATCAACGTGGAAGCAGTTTTTATAGGATTACCGATGTGGAATCGGTTTTTTGGACGGTTCAAGGGTAACCAAAAAAAAATGGTTTCGGACGGTTTAGTTTGATACGTATATAAGCAATCCCAATGAGAAATGATGGACATCTTCAATCAACATCAACTTTAGAGAAATTCTCATTGAGGATCATCATTTTTAGTTTTCCAGTTATTCTTTTGAGTTTTTTTTTTTCTTTTCTTTAGCAATATTATGTACTATCTATCTGGGGATCCGTGATTTCAGACACTCTTCACTCAAGTTCGATATATCTTTTTGAATTTTACTTTTTATTTTTGAACTTTTACCATCAACAAATTGGCGACAACAATGGGAGTGCGAAGCAAAATTGCTGATCCTACATTAAGGTGAAAAGGAAGTCTTCGGGAGCTACATTAAGTAAGCGGTAAAGTCTTGGCCAGGGGAGCTCCAACCCTGATTTTCAAATTAAGTAAATTCTTCTTGTCTTACAAGGTTGGAGCTCCCGAAGAACAGGAAGACAACTAGAATGCGCAAGAAGTTAATTGTTATTATACTCCAATCGAAGTATATCTACATACAGATATCTAGCCCTATTTATAGTTGGTGAAAAGGAACTGTTGCAAGCAGTTACAAGACAGTTTCAACCGCTAGGCAGTTAGGCGGTTGATGACAGTTATTCTGTTGAAGCAGTTGCTGACCATAACTCCTAGGGTGCTCGCTTCGCTTGCATAGGATTGTAAGGGCTCAGATCTTCATCGCTTGCCGGAGGGCTGAAGGGCATCAGCGCAGCTAGGCTTGCTTATGCTGGCTGGTGATGGAATGGTTGTACCACTGCAGTAGGGACTCTTAGTCAATATTTGCTGTCATTCTGCAGCGGTGGGTGTTTGGGCCGTCGCTTGCGAGCGGGAGAGACTGTCGCTTGCGAGCGGTGGAAGCTACCGCTTGTCTCTCTTGCCTTAGTCTTTTCTAGGTGATTTAACCGTCGCTTGCGAGCGGAGGTGACTGTCGCTTGTGGTGTATGCCTTAGCTTTTCTGGCAGCAAAACAACGCTTAAAAAGTGCAAAATCCGTTAATAATCTCAACAAACAAACTCTGGATCAAGAGTTTGTTTGTTACAAAGGACCTGATACATTTGGTCTGAGTGTTCAGGCCAGGCCGATTAACGGTTGGCCCTACGAACAATTTTCATCCGAGTTTGGGCCTTGAGGCGGTTTGTTACAAAGGTAACCGTCGAGGAAGCAGTTTTTGGACGGTTTAGAACCAACGTGGAAGCAGTTTTGGACGGTTCAAAACCGATGTGGAAGCAGTTTTTGATAGTTCGAATTTGTAATCGACGTAGAAACAGTTTTTGACAGATCAGATTAGTAACCGACAAGGAAGCGGTTTCAGACAGTTCAGATCGGTAATCGATGAGGAAACGGTTTTTTACGACTATCGACGTGGAAGCAATTTGTTTATGATTACCGATGTGAAAGCGGTTTTTTTGGACGGTTCAAGGGTAACCAACAAGAAAGCGGTTTCGGACGGTTTAGTTTGATACGTATATAATCAGTCCCAGTGAGAAATGATGGACATCTTCAATGGACATCAATTTCAGAGAAATTCTCATTGGTTATTATCATTTTTAGTTTTCCAGTTATCATTTTCTGCTTTCTTTTTTCTTTTCTTTAACAATATTATGTACCGTCTATCTAGGGATCTGTAATCTCAGACACTCTTCACTCAAATTCGAAATATATTTTCAAATTTTACTTTTTATTGTTAAACTTTTACCGTGAACAAATATATTTATACTTAATTAATATAAATTAATTTATAAAACATAAAAATTATCCGATGAAATACAAGATCACAAATAAATTATATATATATATTTTAAAAGTAGATAAATAGTTAAAATTAAAAAAATAAATAAATAAAAGCATAATATCAACCTATACCCTTTAATCGATAATCATTCAAATTTTAAATTATACCCCAGTGTGATTTTGTTATTTTCAGAATATTAGTTTTCTTTTCTTTTTTCTTTTTAATAAAAATATGTTCTATTTTAATAAAAACTATCTCTACTAAGACGGAAAGAAAATTAAATTTTATTTAAATTCAAAATAGATTACAATATAATTTTAAATTGAAATTGTTCATCTAAAACAAGCTTTCCAACAAGTTTTATTTTTATGTTTCTACTAATTTCTAGTGCTTTTTGTAATACTAATGTTATTACTATAGGTTGCAAGTGTCTCATTTATTTTTTATATATTGATATTTGAATATTAATTATTATTTCAAAATATAGTATAAATTAAAAGAAAAATTATAAAAATATTTTTATTAGTATATTAAAATATTAATATAATGACATTTGTACAAAAAATTATACATATATAAAAATATTTTTAATATTAGATACACAAAGGTAGATACGATTCTTAGGCCGACGAATGAAATAATTTTTTATAAATATATGAGTATATTTTTGTATAAAAAACATTAGACAATATTTTTTTTAAAAAAAATTAATATATTCATGATTTTTATATTATGTATTTCTACCGTCGTCTCGGTCCAAATAGATCATTTGATGTTTTATAGTAAATTAAAAAATAATAGTATTTTATTAGTCAGTGTGAGCGTTTAAGAGGTTTTTGACATTTTTGCCATCTGATTTTACTTAAAATGTAATGGTAAGTGTAATAATATGTTTATAATTCAAGTAAAAGTCAACTGTATTTTGATATTGATGTATAATTACTTTTATTAAAAATAATAAAAAATACTTTAGAAGAGATAGACAAAAATAATAAAATGAATAATTTGTGTCGTGACGGAGGAAATATAAATTTTTAAATATTATCTAAGCAAATAAACAAATACTATTTAAATTAAAATTAATTTATGTTTTTTTTTTAAAAAAAATTACCCTAAAAACCTACAACACTACACGCTACACCGGCAGCCGCCGCGACAGACATCATCGATTCTTCCTTCTTCCTTCTACTTCTCATTTTCTCCTCCTCGTTTCCCTTCTTTCCTCACTCTTTGGTTTCTTTCTTTCTGTCTTCCCTCCTCTTCTTCACCGTCACCGTCCACACTGAATGAACGACGACATCGTATTGGAGGTTGGTAACGACTGGTCAATTACGATTAGGGTTTTATAATGCGCAGAACGACGACATCGTATTCGAGGTTGGGACGGGCTTTTCTGGCCCGATTTTCTACATCAGCACCGACGAAGAGCGGCGGAAATGAGAAGATAATTGCTTCCGTTCTCTTCGAGAGGCTTCCAGTTGTTGTTCCTAAAATCGATCCTGTTGTTTATGCTTTTCAGGAGTTTTCGTAAGCTTTTATTATATTATTATTATTTTTTTTTGCATTTCGATCGTTTAATTGTTAATGGATCAGCTATTCATTTGCCTATTCAATGTAGTTTTGTTTCTCATTGTTTATGAATGAATGTAGAAAAATAAATTGTTGAAAAATGAAGGGGGAAAATGAGATTAGGTTGTTTGAATTTGAGGCGTCGAATTGGGAACTATCCTATCATGAAAAGAAACAGTAGCACTTCACTTCATCAGTTGTTCGTGTGTATATCTATATCTATATATATTTTTGTATGTTCTGGATTGGTAGGATACACTACACTACACGGGTGAGTGATTGTAATTTTGCAGAGTTTGTTATGTAATGAGGCAGGCTGAGGAGTGTGTCTTATGATATGATTTTAGGTTCCGATGGAGACAACAATATCGGCGCGAGTACCCGGAATCGTTTTTGAAAAAAGCTGATGCAAGGTGCCTGCTCCATTTCATTTTTCCAATTCTTTTTACCATTTTATCATTTTCCCAATTCTTTTTACCATTTTTATCATTTTCCCTCAATCATCAACTTCCATTTTTGAAATTTGATGTCACCAAGTGCAGCAGATCCATCTCATAGATAAACAATTTTTGAATGAGTAGGTGTTTTGACGAATCATGTATACGACTTGTGCACGTTTCTTTCATTTTAAGCATATAAAAAAATCAACTGGTAGTTAAATAACATATGTATCTGAAGAAAGTTACGGTCCATATTTTGTTTTTTTTTGTATCAATTGTGAAGTAGGTGATTGTTTAATCTTTCGACCACTTAATTAGGAATTTGCATAAATTTGATTTTTCTGATTTCCTAAATATTAATTAACTATGATGGATGATTCAGGGGAAAAGGAGATTATCAAATTGACTTCACACCAGCTTCGCGAATTACTGAAGCTGATAAGAAAAATGATAGAAGGTACTTACTGTTGTGGCATACATTTACCTACCTTTTCACATTCGTATTAATATTTGTTTATATGGTTCTCATTTTGGAAATGAACCTTTATTACTTCAATGTATCATCCTTGCTGTTGTAAATTTGATCAAGGTGACTCTCCATGTGCTCGTGTTTGTATGATTTGCCTCCATTTCTCATCATATATCCTCTGTTGCCTCTTGCTCAAACATGCCAACGTATATGACCTTTCTTCATTGATTCAGTTGAGGAAATTAATCACTTTGCATCATTGTATTGTAATGTTTCCACCTGATTATGCCCAATTTAAAAAAAAAAATTTGTTGTAGGAATTAGGCCTGGATGCATATTGGTGGCGTAGCTTAACCTTTCTTCTTTCTGTGTTTTTTTTTTTTGGTTGTGATGACAACCTCTATCCATCTATATCATCGACTGTCTGGTGACAAAAATCAACATATTCTCTTTTAGGTCATTGCAAAGAGCACTAGACCGGAGACTCTACCTTCTCCTATATGGAACTGCCTATGGTTCTAGTGGAAATCCTGTTTGGCACTTTCCTGAGAAGGTTTACGAGTCTGAGCAGACGCTGCGCAAGGTTATTACACTACGAACTTACTAGTTTACCTACATTTTCCATCCTCGGGTTTCTCATACAGATGTTGACTAAAATGTCTATGCCATTGGCCTTGGATATATTTTCTGCAGTGTGCAGAATCTGCTTTAAAATCTGTGATCGGTGATCTTTCCCATACATATTTTGTTGGAAATGCTCCGATGGGGCACATGATTGTACTCCCTCCAGAAACAGAGCAAGCTGATTCATCATCTTTTAAGGTAAGCTTAGTGTTTTTATTTGTTTCGTATCCCAAAAGAGCACCCTTTTCTTGTGGTTATTTCTGATTCTTAAATTTCATGATTTAGAGGTTCGTATTTAAATCTCAAGTGATTGCTGCTGATGAGTTTAATGTGGGAAAATGCCAAGATTATGTGTGGGTAACGAAGGACGAGCTTTTGGAGTATTTTCCCGACCAAGCTCAATTCTTAAACAAGATGATCATCAGCTGATTGATATATATATATATATATATCCTTTTATGTTTCTTCATCTACAATCATTTTTGGTGCCTTGTTCTACAAACATGAGCCTGCCATCAGCTGTATTCCGGCATCTTTGGATTCTCAGAAACCTCTAAATTTGATGATATTTAACAACACTAGCAGGTTCCTGTATTTTGTCTCCAGGTTTAGTTCCCTTGTTAACGTAATAAGTTGTGCTTTGGTCTCATTGCCCATTTTCCATTTCAGCTGTTGATCTCTGCAAATTATATCATTTCAAATTTACAGGTATTTAAATTTGCACACACACACTTGTATCTATATACATGGGATGGTTATGGTGATATGATCGAGGAGCTAATTTGATTCAGCCAGCACATTGAAAATAGGTTGACAGTAGATGCTTTTATTTAACACAATTCATATTTGTCGGTCCATTGTATAAATATATTTTTTGTGTTGAAATTAATCGTATCATGTGCTGTAATTGTATTATATTAATATAGATAGTGTATTGTCTGTCATTATAGCAAGTGTTGTTTGTCATTATGTGCGATTTAGTCAGTACTATTTTGCTTCTTGTTATAGTGTGTTGTCTGCTGTTGTAGTAACATTTGTATAGGTGTCATAAATATATATGACAAAAGGAAAGGAAAAACAAGCACATATATATATATATGTATGTATGTATGTATACATACTTTTCGTAGGAATCAAGTTCAAGAGATGGCGCGGACTTCGCAACAAGTGAGTCTTCTGGGCGTCTCTACAGAGGAGAAACTGCAGCCGCAATCCGCTGGAAGTGGTGACCTAATTGCAGTTAGATCGGAAGTGATTTCGGAGCCATGTGGACCACCAGGGAGGGTAAGTGTACTTAAACTATGCAAATGTATGCTAGTTGAAATTATGACAAGTCGGAGCAATCAAAATAGCTTTCATATAGATAGCTTTGTGGATGAAATTGAGGGGTTTTTATTGAAGTTCTTAAAAAAGTAAATGTGTAATGGCTTACATAGAAGGCTTCGCAGTCGAGGGGCCTCTCAAGTTTTTACTTTTTCTGTCTGTCTTGAATTTTTTACTAAAAGCATTATATATATATATATATATATATAAATTACTAAAGCTTCCTTTCTAATTACTGTAAGCCATTGTATGAATTTTTGTTGGGTCACAATTAATATAAATAGACGACTTAGACTCATCACAAAATATAGGCTTTTTTCGTGAATAAGGACTGCAATTTCTCTAAGAAAATAGATTTGGGTACGGCGGTGATTGTAATCTAATAGAGAATTGGCGCGAGAGTGGTATTTTGTATTAAATTATTGATTTTTGAGTGAGTATAATATATCCTAAAGTGGATGACTCGAGTTGTTTTTGCAATCAAATAATTTTCACCAAAAGTATTAGTATGCTAGTACAGCATTATTTCAGATATTCTGTTTACATTATAACATTGTTTTTTTCATTGTTATTGTGTTTCAGCCTCGACCCAGATCCGACCTGAGTCAACCCTGTCCGACCCGAACCTGCACCAACTCGGCTCGGTTTGTTTGATTTTTATTTTCTTCTTAAATCATAATCGATTCCTCTCTATCCCTTTATTCGGGTTGTGATTTGAATCACCCTTAAATTTGTTCCATCATTCTTGGTGTTTATTCTTATTTTTTTTACACTGATCGAGTTCATCTTTGATAAGGTGAGATTGTTTCCTTCTATTTTGGGATCTATCCATCTAGTTCCCTCTATATATATATATATATATATATAGTTTTGGGGTTTTGGGAGAAAACACAGCAGTTCGATATTTCTTTGGTGTAAGCAACGAACATACTGCTTATGCCTAATCTTCTCAGTCGACTTCAAATTCGTTCTTTCCTATTCTGCTGCATGTGCGGGAATCATTCTAGGGTTCTTGGGTTACTGCGTGCTATGAACCACCACAATCATGGTTGTCACGGTGCCTTTTTGCGGCGCGGTGCTAGGGTTTAGGGTACCGTCATGGCGACGTGGTGCCCGCCATGGCGACAAAATGGCGAATGCCGTGTACTATGTATAAAATTGAATAGATATATATAATTATAAATATCATATGCCTTAGATCATAAAAAAAATATATAATATCATAAAAAATATTATTTCAATCATCAAACAAAATAAAATACTATCAATGAATCTCTAAATCATCAATTTAATCATCTTAAATTTCAACGATCAAAGAGCTCAAGTTCACCACTACCACTAAGAACATCTTCAAAATCATCATCAATGTCATCATTTAATAATACATCTTCATCGTCTAATTCTTGTTCAATCAATGCCGAAGTTGACGTTTTCTTAGAACGTCTAGAGTATAATTGTATTGATGAACCTGATGTATCTCTGATATTTCCCCTTTTAGGAATATTGCGGTGTTCAAAATTGGACGATGCACCCATAGTTTTATCCACATGACTCCATGTAAGATTCTCTCCTGAATGAACTAATCATTGGTGTTGAGAACTCGCTCATTATCCCATTCAAATTCCTCCAACACCAAAGGAGTGAAGCTCTTTCTTTCCTTGTGCCTCTTTTGAAATCTATTCGCAATTTTTCGATTGTATTGAACAAAAACTAAATCGTTCAATCTCTTATGCTTCAATCTATTTCGTTTTTTCGTGTGAATCTAAAAAAAATAAATTATAATATGCTAATATATGACTACAATAGCAATAATGCTTAATATATTATTTATATAAGTAATTAAATACTTACAAATTCAAATGAGCTTCAATTGCGTTCACACCCGGAGGACAAACAACAAAGACTAATTATACGGAAGGCAAGTGATTGAAACTCGAAATGAAGGCCTCCAAAAGCATTCCACCAATCAACTAAAATTGTAAAACATTAAAAAAATATATTTAGTTCGATCTTTAAAGAAAAATGAAAAAATAAATAAATAAAATAGAAATTATAAAAATTAAGCACTTACGAGGACTTTTTTTGCCTTTTGTTGCTTAATAGCCAATTGTTTTCCGAAGCTTCCCCGCATATTATCATAATCATCGATTTGATCACAAATCTTTGTTTGTAATTCATCATTAGTGACCATTTTTTCAAAAACATCATTAAACATAGCTCGTGCCTTACGAGCATATGCATTATCACTCACCTTGAGATCAAAGTACTTGAAAGGATTAACACATAATGCAGCTCCATACAACTCGACTTCTATTTGATCCTCCCACCGACAATCGATAATATGCATTACTTCTTTCAACAAATTTGGCTTTTTCTTAAAATCTCATTTGATTTTCCTTTTAGCTTCATTCATCGGTACTGCAAGCTCCGGCATCGTTGGCTTCTCATCCTTGTCAACGATCCTCAAAATAATTAGAAGTGGATGCGATGCTTTTATACAATACTCCACACCAGTCCAAAAAGGAGAAGACAATACCATGTTTGCTACTAATCTCCCGGCATTTGTATTAGTCAATTTCGATGTAGTCCAATATTCGCTCAAAAATAAGCTCCTCAAAGCATCCCTATGCTTATATAAGCTCTGCAAAGTCAAAAATGAAGTAGCAAACCGGGTAGGCCCAGGTCTTACATCGCATTAAGGAACCTCGCGTGCTTATAGATATAAGTAGTAACTCTTCTTGCATTGTAAATCTTTGCCCGGAAAACAGACAATTTTCCGATATCTTCCAACATAAGATCAAGGCAATGAGCTGCACAAGGAGTCCAATATAAAGTGGGTATGCGCTACTCCAATATTTTACCCGCTGCCTTGAAATTAGCACTATTGTCTATTACTACTTGAACTACGTATTCTTTTCCAATTTCTTCAATTTTCTCCTGAAGTAAATCCGCCAATAGTGATGCAACTTGAGCTTGACTTGATGCATCAATCGACTTAAAAAAAAATGTATCTTCTGGGCTATTGATGAGGAAATTAATCAAATCCCGCCCTCTTTTATCTGTCCACCCGTCGGCCATAAGTGAACATCCGTATTGCTTCCAAGCAATAACATGTTTTTCCTTCAATGTTTGTGTATTTTTTACCGTTTTCTCCAAAAGAGGAACTCCTAATTCATGATAACTTGGACCTTTTACACCCGGTCCCATCTGCCCCGCTGACTCAATCATTATCTCAAGACTTCGAGACTTTGCCATTGAATGGTATGCCATTTTCATTAAAAAAAATAGGAAATATGTCAATGAAATCTTTCGATCTCCTCCTTGCTCCTTGTACACGCTTCCAATGTTCTTTGACTTCCACTACTCGTTTTGCTATGTCTTTCCTCAATGACTTCCTCTGGGGATTTTCTAAGCATTGAGGCAACCGACTTGCTTTCTTTTCCACCGTGTGACGGCATCGATGAAAAATTTAGAACAGATTGCGAACGCTTCCTCTTGCTCAAAGTGCCCGAGCTACGGTAAGAAACTGAGTCGTGCGATACCCCTTGCCCTGCTCCTTGAACATTCACATTTGTCAATGTCGTCGTCGTCATCGAATTTAACACAACTACGACTGGGCTGCTTTCCTATTGTCTTTTTCTTTAGGAACTCCCGCATCTCATTCCGAATTTCTTCGGTAGTTTTTTAACACTTCTCTACATCTCCAGAATTTCCAAGCAAGTGTTGTTTCAATCGCTTTATTCCCGATCGTACTTGCTTATGGCAAAGGGAACATTCTACCAAATCTCTATTTCCCAAGTCCGGCCAAAAAGCGTATTTCCAACCCGGATCATTTGACTTAGCTTTTCTTTTGGGATATTTGGATGGATCTATTGTTGACGCTTCACTTTCGGCCATAGCAAATTTCATCCTATAAATATTTATATATCAATATGTCAAAATAATACAAAATAAATAAAAAAAATTGTTTTATAAAATGAAAAATTATAGAAAATATGTTGCAAAATAAAAAAAATAAAATATTATTATATTAAAAATAAAAAATATATAAATAATTAAATAAATATTATTAAAACACTAGCTAATAATAGTAATATAATATATATATTAAAAAACTAATAATAGAATAATAATATAAAAAAAAAAAGCATATCCAGCGATTGCAATCAAGTCTGTGTGTGAAAGATCAAAATCGAGATTCCACTAAGAAATCAAAATTAAGATTCCACTAACCCAGAAAATGAGGAATAGCGGACTGGAGCGGCTTCGGCGACTGGTGCGGCGTCGGTGGACTGGAGCGGCTTCGGCGGACTGGAGCGGAGGGGGAGATTCGCAATACAACAGTGGCGCAACAAAACAAATTTTTTTTGACAAGGTCTTTACATTCAGACCGGTTCAATCCGGTTCAGGTAGGTTTAAGGGTAGAATCAGGTTATGACTTGATTTTGGGTTTAGGGCCACACGCCGCGACGTCGCCAGACCGCCTTATGTCACAAGGCGGGGCGGTGACGCTTGGCGCTCCCCGAAGAGCGCCAGAACGCCGTGGCGTCGCCATGGCGACGCCGTGACAACCATGACCACAATCGACACTTCATTGGTCATTTTGTAGGACGACTTAGAGTTGACGAAGGAGTAGCTGCAATATGAGCCTACCTGATAAATTGAACAATTTTTCTTTCAGTTCTTTAATTTTATAATTTTTTTTCTATTCTTAACCTTGATTATTATCCACTAATTTTTCTTTCATTGATATTAGAGCTAAGGTGAAAGGCTGAACACGGATTGAATTTGCAACTCCACGGGTAAAACAAAAATTAGTAAAAATTGTCCAAATCGAACATATGACTAACCCTTGAACTTGTATGTATTAGATAATCATAGGGTATTCTTGATTGACTCTATATGATTGATTGTGTGACTTATATGTGTAGTTTGACACACTTATTAAGTAACTGAATGCTCTTAGAGCAAATAAATAGCTGACCACTGATAAGTTGTGAATTATGTGAAACTTGGACAATATGTCAACCACATTTAATATTTCACCTTTTGACGAAAAAATTGATTTTTCAATTTAGTAATAAAACGTGAAAAATATTTTAGTTACTCAAAATGTAACCAAAGCAATTGATGACGATTTTAGTCTTTTAATGACTGAAGAAAGAAAGTTTGAATTAGATGAACATGCATATTATCTGATTATTTTGAAGTTATATGATTCTGTAATTAGAAAAGTAGGGAAACATAGCTCACCAAAGAACTGTGGGATCGATTAAAAGAACTCTATTTGGAAAGAATTCTACCTAATAAATTGTTTTTACTTAGAAAAGTTTTTTCCAGTTTAAACTTGATTTGAATAAAATTATTAATGAGAATTTAGATGTTTTCACAAAATTTGTTCAAGATAAAATAAACGGAGATAAGAACATTCATGATTACAACCCAATAATACTCCTAAATACAATTCCCGAATCTTTTTCAAATGTCAAGTCTGTTATCAAGTACGGTAGAGATAGTATAAATCTTAAAAGTGTCATGAATTGATTAAAAAACAAAGAACTTGATTTGCATGCAAATGAAAATAATAAACATACTACTAATAAAGAGATGTTTACTAGGAATAGATCACAAGTCAAGAGAAACACAGAAAATTAAAACAATCATGGTAACGGCAATGTAAGATCTAGGTCTAAGTCTAGGCCTATAACATAAAGTGTTACAATTGTGGGGATTTTAATCATTATGCTAAGCAATATTCACATTCTAAAAACTTTAGAAACCAACATAATTAACATGCTAATATTACTATTAAAAATGAATGTATAAGAGATGTTTTCATGGTTAAAAGAAATTGTGCTATTGTTAATGTTATTCGTGCTAACAAATGATTACTTGACTCTACGTGTACTTTTCATATGTCTCATTTGAGAAATTTTTTTTCAAACTATAGGTTTATATCACATGCTTGTATTTTAATGAAAAATGAAAAAACTTTGTAAAGTTATTGGTATAGATGATATTTGTCGAAAATTCGATTTTGGCTATGTGTTAATCTTAAGAAATATTAAGCATGCTCCTTATTTTTTATATAACTTGATTTCATGTGTTGCACTAGATAAAAGTGGATTAATAGGAAAAAAATGGAAAAATAGAAAGTCTTAAATGGATCATTTGTTGCGTTTAAGGCTGTTAGACAAAACAATTTTTATGTTGTTTATGTTGAACCATATTGCATGCCAAATGTGAATTATGTTGTTAATGATAAAATTAAATTGTGGTATAGAAGATTAGGTCATCTTAGTTATAAAAGTATTAAAATTTTAAAGAAAACTGATTTTTCTTAAAAATGATAAGATTACTATTGTACTATTTTGTGACTTGTGTGTCTATGGTTAACAACATAAGGTAAAATTTGATTTGTCTCATGTCCCTAAAGAGCCTAAATGTAAAGATATGTTTGAATATCTGCATGCTGAAGTGTGATGCCCAATTCATATTCCTACTCAAGGAGTGAGTTATTACTTTCTTTTGTTAATTGATGAATTTTCATAAAAAGTTTGAATTTTTCTATTATAACAAAAATAAGATGTTTTTGAAAATTTTCAAACATAAAAAAAGTTAATAGAAAACCAAATAAGTAAACGCATTAAAATTTTGAGAACAGGTAATGGTCTTGAGTTTTTGCAATAAGTGGTTTGATTCATTATGTGCTAAATCATGTATAATTAGACATAAGACAGTTCTTTATACACCCCAACTGTGATTACGGCTGCATACTTAATTAATAGGTCTCATTATGTAACACTTGTGGGTAAGTGTCCTAAATCTGTATGGTCAGGTAAGAAACTTGAAATTTGAAAGTATTTGATTGTGCCACATATGCTTTATATAAATGTGATAAAATTGAATCTAGAGTTGTGAAATTCATTTTATTAGAATATCCTTTAAGGGTAAAAGGATAAAGGTTGTGGTTAAAAGATGAACCATGTTTCAAAGTACTGATTAGTAGAGACATCACCTTTAATAAAAATTAGATGTCTTGCTTAAATGTGCCAAATATTGAAACTAACTTGGCTTTTAAATCAAGTGGAACTAAATAAGATGAAGCCCAATAAATTGGAAATTCTTGAAAATCTACATAACATATTTGAGTCTCATGATAAGTTGTCTGTCTCTGAATCTGAAAATATCTTACCTAATATTGAAAATTATGAATCAGAGCGTGAGAACTTGGAAAACTACCAATTGTCTAGAAATAGGACTAGATGACCACTAGGCCACCTACTAGGTTTGATGAATATGACGTGATCTTGTATGCCTTTAATGTGTTTGAGTCAATAGATGAAAATGAACCTAAGTCCTATGAGGAAGCACTCAAATCTAAACATGCTGAAAATTTGCTAAATGCAATGTGATGAATAAATTTCTTGCATGTTAACAATATGTGGATTATTGTTTTTAAGTCTACTAATTGTTCTATTGTTGACTGCAAATAGATTTTCAAAATCATAAATAAAAATGAATGTTAGATTTAAACCTAGTTTGGTAGCTAAAAGTTTCACTAAAAAAGAATGGATTGCTTACACTGGAAATTTCTCACGTGTAGTTAAATACACTATTGTTAGGATTATGCTTGGCTTAATTGCTCACTTTAATTGGGAATTGAAATAAATGGAAGTTAAAACAACTTTTCTACATGGTGATCAAAGTAAGAAAATTTACATAAAACAACATGATGGTTTTGTAGATGAAAGTAAGTCTAATCATATGTGTCTACTACAAAAATATTGGTATGGTTTGAAACAATCACCTGGACAGTGGAAAGTTTCATGAGTGCATGAGATCTTTAAAATTTACAATAAGTAATTTTGATCATTACTTGTATTTTATGAGATCAAATAATATTCCTGTTTTCTTACTTATCTATGTGGATGACATGTTATCGATTAGTCTCTACTTGAATACTATAAAACATGTTAATGATTGTTTGAGTAAGAAGTTCGATATGAAATACTTGGGAAGAACATTCTTGGCATGAACATTATTATATATGACTACTTCTACACTTTTTCTGAATCAATCCGCATACATTGAGAAAGTCTTGAAACAATTCTGTATGTCTAATACAAAGTCTACTAACGTGCCTTTAGCTTCTTTTTGTGCTAAGTAAAGAAGAATATCCCAAGTTTGAATATGAAACGAATTACATGAAATATGTGCCATATTCGGTTGCTATAGGGTCTGTGATGTATTTGATGATTTGCACTAGA